GGAGGGAGCGAACAAGGCTGAGAAGACAGTTCGGCGACAGTCTTGGACAAATAAGCACGGAATTCGGCATTGGTGTCGTAAGAAGGAGCGTCGAAAGAAGACTTGGAGTTACGAGAGTTTTTGGACCAAACGGAACTGCGGGAGAAGATGGAGGGTGATCGAGGAATAAATGAAGGCGCCATTGTGCTCTTTGATGGGTGGCAATTGAGTTCGTATGCAGCACGAAGAGAGATTTCGTAGTTGTCGGCGTAACGCAAGCAATGATCAAAGATCCACGTCAATGCTGACCCATCGGGTGCATTCAATGTCTCATGATGGGGGGCTGAAGACATGCTATGAATATTTGAAGGAATGGAGTGTGGGGACTCTTGTCGGGACAAGAGAGAGAGTGTGTGTGTGGGTGTGTGTGTTGAAGATAAGTTGAAAAGAGAATTGTGATGAGAAGAAAAGAGTGCAAGGCCGGTAGCTAAAGACCAGTAGTTATGGTCGAGCCGAAGAACCGGATTCGCCGTGGCGGCTGGGATAGCTCAAAACCCGTCAAGGGGGTAGCTGGAGACCTGATAGACCCAAAGAGGAATAGAGGACTGATGGAGGGACCCGGTTGGTCGGATCAGCCCTAGAGTACCGAAGACTTGAGTCACCCAAGGAGGCCAACAAAGAAAAAAAGCTTTCGCGGTTGGCGAGTACTTGATTTCTCCAGGATATCCCTTGAGAAGCAAAACCAATCACGATGCGCGATCTCTCGGATCTCCTGCACGCCAGATCTGATGTATGCAAAAAAAAAACGCAAAAAGCGGCTTCAATAGCTAGCTTCCGAGCACTGAAACGTGAGACACGTCTTAACCCCCTTCAAGGATCGAGTAGGGAACGTAAGACAGATAAAGGGCCAAAGTGGTTGGGGGTATGAGACCAAGCGAATGTTAGGATATTCAAGGAGAGTTGAGGAGGAAGAGTTCGAAATGGTCCTGCCGAGGGGAAGAGTCCCATACAAAAAGGCGCGCTCTTTTCCCCATGGCCAGACCATTCTCGAAAGTGGAGACGGACTCGACCGCACGAAACAAAATCCAAGATAATTTTTATTTTTAAATTACTTAAATTACTTAATTTTTTTTTTTTTTTTCTTTTTTGTTATTGTTTTTTTTTAAATAAAAATCGAATATTTAATTAATTTAATCCAAGCTACGGAGTAAACCCCTCCTTTATCTGAGTCCAGATCCATGGATTCTGTTTTTTAAGGCTACTCCACCTGCACCGACCCGCTGGAAGATGTCATTCGTCCCAATTTGTATGAATTCCCATTGGTTTGGAACGCTTAAGAGACAGCCGTTGGTGCTATTCTCACTCCACTATGGAGTAGTCTCGGTACGTTGGTACGTTTAACACCTTTCCCCTTCAGGTAGGTTCTAAGCCAAAGAGACTAGCTCACATTATGATTGGATTATCATCCCCGTGCCTTTCCGGCTTGCGACAACTCGAGCTGTCTTGCATTCAAGGCTCCAGTGTATGTGGAACTTTGACATCGTGACTGGGAACTAGGGGAGCCGTTACGCCTACCAAATGTTTTTGGCTCTGTCAGATTCATCAGCGCAGCGTATGTTGTAATACCTTTTTATGCATAATAAGACTAGTCAATTTAGAAGACAAACTTCTCAGATATTCGCCTCCGCCTCAGCTATCTATATATTGCGCTCAGCTTGTGTCTACGATGCACCGTACATACAACACGCAGATTTTTCCAGATTGTGGCTCATCTTGTGGCCACGTACTTTTGTTCGCCCGCGGATAAAAATCTAAAAACAACGTAGATACATCCAACTAGTTAGATAGTTATCTATTATTGTACCATATGGACCATTCTCCCACACTGTCTGCACCCCTCCATTGATAATTCTTAGATCCGATTACGATTGTGTTGGCTTTAATGTTCGATCGATTGTGGGGCCCTGAACATAGTAGTACATACACGATACCTACAACATGGTTACAACGTGCCCAGGGTAGTTATATATTAACTAACTAGTTAGTTAGTTACAACATAACTATTGTACATGTAAATAGTTATTATGTTCGTACATATCCCCGGTGATGAAACCACCTGTGACTGTTGCCTTGGGTCCACCCAAAAACGGAGCCATTGGAGCAGTCACACGGAACGAGAACCCAATTTGATGTACGGAGTACAAGGTACGATCCAGGCGAAGAGCCGTGATACTCTCCGGGGCTTCGAAGAGATCATTCATTTGTAGATTTGTAGATCAATAAACAACCGTAATTATAGACATTATCCATGGATAAAAGTTGGTATCTTCCATGGTAACTTGGACACTGTAGTTACTCCGTACCGCGGTTGACTGTCCAGTCGGGCGGGCCGCCTTCCGTGCCCTAGATGCCTGAGGCGTGGACCCATCTTTGGGGCATTATTTCTTTTTTTTAAGCGATGATGGTTCTAGTACGTACTTTCCAACCTCCAGGGTTTGCACCCCGGAAAGATTAGGTACATACTTGATTTGATACCTAGGATACCTAAAATTGGGGTCCAAAGATCAAACATGTACATATCCGGACTTTCCGTGCTCGACACAAGCGAAATAAAACAACATAGCACTGCCCAGGTGATCCACAAATCCGCCAATTTCAGGACCTTCCCAAACTAGTTTGGTGGGTATCACCTGACTAGATTTCAGCTCGAGGCGTATGTCGATCTATCAAGCCCAGACGTAGTGATCTTCAACGCCTTTGTTTGCTTCCGATATTGTATATTCCATACCGAGGAAGTCTGTATGTCAATCAGCCTCAGGAGAAATTTTGCCAGATCATCGGGAGCTCTCACGACGATCACTTCATCGTCATCGTCATTATTATTATTATACTTTATTATACTCTGGATGCAGTACCCTATACTCCCTAAACCACACCGGATATCGCTAGCTAGTTACCAGCTACCAACGACTCGGGTCAACAGACACATACAACAAGACATTTTTCGCCTTGGTGCCGGATGATGACAATGGGGCTTTAGAAGCTTTGACCAACTACTACTCCGTATCCAACGGTCAAAAGACCCCTTTTCGTCTGCACTACGTATGTTGTACGGAGTAGTTACAGTCAGGGCCTTCTTTGTCCTGTGAATGTCCGTTGCCCCTGACTAAAGATTCAAAAAATACTATCAAAGACATTTCTTAAATATTGGACAAGATGCCCAAGGAGCCCCTTGGGTATCTATAATATAGGAGGAATTGCCTATTCATATCGATATTCTCCACTTTAAAATATATTGTACAAAGAAACCCCTTTACACATTAACCGCCTTCTAAATTCGAGTAGCCGTACTCCGGACTCCGTAGGCATAGTCACACAAAGCGGAAACCCACTGGGGTCACCTAGTGAGAAGACCCATCCAGAATCATAGCAACAATTAAACTACTCATCGCCGTTCGAGATCTGCAGTCCGCAGCTCATTAGTCTCTTCATAAGTGATCATCTTCTATCCGAAACGCAACAAGCCGGTGTATAAGTTATTAGTTGACACGCCCAATTCTCGGTCCTAAAAACTACCATCCGGTCAAAAGGAATTTGGCCCACCTAGGCTAATGACTATCCCTGTACTCTGTGCCCAGGCCCACCCTACCAAACATAAATTATTGCTCAATGATCCCATACCCGGGCATGTTGTGATCAGTCTCATCGGCAGCTCATTGAAGGAACAACCGGACAGACATATCGAGGCCCGTCTGTGCATCCAGCAAATCCTAAAATGGTAGTAGTGCCGTATGAAGAAGTTAATACCGGACTCCAGCTCGCCATTTCTGCACTATAAAACTGCAATTGCGTAGTAAATGTAACTATGCCCAACCGCTGGTAATCAATTAAGAAGCTTCCAGGTTCTTCAAGTAATAAGCCCACTTTAGCTGGTATCTACCTCCGGGGTCCACGGAGTAGTATGCTTTTACTTCTGTTTCTCGTTAGCGGCGCGTAAATCAGTTACTTCTCTTTTGAGAAGAGCGGCGGATTATATAGTGATTTGGTAGGCCTTTAAACCCTAGTTTGTAGCGAAACTGAGTAGGCTTAGGTGCCTTAGGAACTAGGCTATTTAATGCCGTCCCTAACTATCGGCTACACTGCTATGAATGTACTATGAATCTAGTGGAGCTCTTTTATTGTGCGATACTAATAACTATCTATAAGTCTACACTTTCTGTATTGTAGATTTTGAGGCTCTTTACCACTCTAATTATATGCATACATAGTTGAATATTCCTTTCTTTATTTCTGGTTGGATACAGTATTCAATTCACAGGTTGTAGTACTTCAACAGTGCCGAGGTGGATTCGCTTGCTTCTGTGCCAACCAGCGCATAAACAACAGTCAGGTACCTAGGTGAGTTTCCATCCATAATATCTTTCACTGCTCTTTGGCTCACCCCAGCTGGGTAACTTAGTCAGATCCTTGGCCACCTGCACTTCCCGATGCGGAATTGTTGAATAATCTCAGACTTAGCACCTGGCCTCCATTTCCATTGTTGAGCAATTCCTGGGTCCAGAGTGTCTGTCTTACATCATTTCAACGATATACCTCCCTAATGCCGGGAGGAATTACCTATTCACATCGATCTTCTCCGCTCTAAACTATATTGTACAAATGAATCCACTTAATGTGGCTCATAATGTGTGTATCAAGCGTCCAAGTTGACCTTGATTTCTTTTTAATAGATAATAGACAAGGGCGCACCGGCCTTCTGTAGCTTTGCTAAAGGGAATCGCTTGGCAATCTCTTTTACTTTCAGGAACACCCACAAGTGTATAAGATTAATTAAAGGGAGGTTAGGTATCCTATAGTTTGCCGATCTACGATGTAGATATAGTAGCTTCCGGTAAACAAATGATGACATAAGCAAGGCATATCGGCCCCGCCTGGCAGAAAAAGGTAGACGATAAGATGCACAGCTTCAATACTTTGACTTGGCTCTGCAACTTTTTATTCGTGCAAGGCACATATCAGCCATGGCAAAGGGATCATTGGAGAGCAAGCTCCAATTTGAGAAAAAGAACAAAGACCTCATCCGACTCCCAAAACGTGAGCCTTCTCATCCGAACGCCTGGGGTCCAATGGCCAATGCTAGGAACTAAAGATCGCAAACGCTGACTTTTGGATAACAGATGCCAAAGTCGAGAAGCGCCCTATACCTCATGCCCCAGTGGCCTCCCCGTATGCCGGCGCATCGGTGCCCAAGATTGTCTATGTCTCCAAGTCCACACCGTTCATGAGCGCCGTCAAACGCGTCCAGAAACTCCTCCTGCAGGCCGAGAAGCGCGCCACCGCAAACATCAACCTTGAGGATACGCGTAAGAACGAGAAACAGATACTCGAGGAGCTGTCGAAGGTGCCAGAGAAGCGGGAGGAAGTCTTTGTGAAGGCCACAGGACGGGCTATCGAGAAGGCACTGAACGTAGCCAAATGGTTTGAGGAAAAGGAGACCGCGTACACAGTCCATGTCAATACAGGGAGTGTGGTTGTCGTGGATGATATCGTTGAGGATGAAGAAATCAAAGCAAAAGAGGAACAAAAACGACAACGGCAGGAAGAGCAAACCCCAACCGACCAGGGGGATGCGGCTTCTAAGCCGGAATCCAAGTCAGCCGCAAAAAGAGGAAACGTCAGGTTTCCGCGGCGGAAGATGACGCTGAGCTGCCCGAGAGTCGGACGAGGTGGGTTAAAATGGTTGAGGTCGCCGTCAGTCTCAAGTGAATTCGCCTACAATCATTGCGATAAAACCCTCTACGATTGTCGGTTATCCGATTACACGATCATCGTCTGCTGCTCTGAGAAGTTTGACTGCAAACTCCACACCCATGGCTGGGAAATTGCCATTGATTGTCATGAACCTGTGGCCAAGCCCAGCATTGCCAGCTAGGACATTGTTGAGTGTACATATCCTGCTGAGTGACTGCGATCCAAACGGAACGCTCATGGTGACTATACACCGCCCAGTGACCCAGCTCGGAAGATCCTGTTCTGGGATATTGCTGGTGGAAGCAGTCAAACCCCCAAGCCCCAATTTGAGGGCATCCTCTTACCACACCCTTCATCACATGCATGTCCCGAGTGCCAAATAATCTACAGGTGCAATGTGGACATTAGGCCCGAAAGGCAAGGCCCTTGAGCAGGATCAGAAACAGAACAATTCGTTTGTCCTTAGGTTATTAGCCTAGCACAAAATCATGTACATCGAGATTGCCCTTAAGAAATAAACTCTGATTTACCCAGAGCACATGCTCCCACCCGACCTCGGAATCAACCCAACGCGCTGTAGATGCGGGACAGACTTGTATGAAAAACGAAAGAGAGAGAGAGAGAAGACTATATGAGAACAGTACTACTCCAATCAAAACAGAGGTTTAAAAGAGGGGGCCTGGATCATCGAATCTGCCAGCGAGAAACAAATGGCATGAATAAAAAAACGAAATAGTACGAATAAAAGAATAAAAACTCCTTGATACGCTCACAAAGTCCTGTGCTGACATGACATGATGAATGATAATGCCTGGAAACCCTTCATTGAACGAAACAGTTCAAAGAGAGGCTGCAAGTCATGAACGTATCCTGATTTTCCCCATCATGTACAGACAAAAGAGAAAGAGAGGTGTCGACTCCCAAGAGGGTGACAGGCTAATAGTAACATAGTAGGAGGTAGAAGAAGAAGAATGAAGAGAAATGAGATGGCAGGAAAGAGGGGGGAGGAACGGACGTCGAAGAAGACGACCAAGGAGATCCTTGAGTGATCTCGTGAAAGTCATCAAAAAAAGTCGTGAGATAAAAGGGACAGTGTGGGCTAAAGGGAAGAAGCACCGAATATGAAAACAAGAAAATGGTCCTCAACCGAGATTAGAACCTGGACATTCATCGCCAGAAAGTCGTGACTGGCGAGCGAAAACTTAATTCCGATGAGAAAGATAGGAGACAAAAGTCAAATAATGCAAAGAGTCTATGCAATAGAAATAGCCGTCAAAAGAGCAAGGAACCCCAGAAGTAGCACGCCATGGCAAGCTGGGTTATTTGTCCATCTTTTGCCAACCGTTGAGATAAGCCATCAGGCCTACTCCCAATAAGACCACCCCAAACATGGAGGCATAAGGACTTGCTTCTTCCACATAGTGATATCGATGGTGTTGTGTTGCAAATGCTGTGGCTGTAGCCGCAGCATCCATGTCCTTGTGCTGCGAGGTAACTGGGTCGAAGCCCTGCGTCGATGGAGTCTTAGTCTTAGAATCCATTAAAGTATCATCACCCGTAAGCGACTTTTCGGCCAAGCCATTGCTTGGCTCGCGGTCATCGGTTTTCTTATCAAGCGCCGTGGCTGATGCCTTCTCGGCGCGTTCCTGGCGCAAGGTTTCAACCATTTCGTTCAACGACTGGCGAGACTCCGTGGTCTCATCTTCAGCCTTCTCAGCGCGATCTTTGAAGGATGCCATTTGCTTTCTCATCTCTGCCATCTCCTCCATCATACTTTCCAAGCGAGTTTGAAGTTCAGCACCCTTGTCTTCCACGGGAGCGTCTGGCTGGCTGTCGTCGGGAGTGGGAGTCTCTGCAGGATGGATGCCGTTGACCTGCACGGTTGCTTCTGTATCATCCTGCTCCTTATTTCCATGTAGACAACTCTCTGACGGTGGAAGAATGCCGTTTCCGGCGTTGACTTCTTCAATATCAAATGAGCGCATCTCCAATTCATTGACTTTGTCCTCTGCCAATTTCCGAGCAGCCTGCTCTTGGAACAACATACTTTCTAGTTCTTTGACACGTGTGCCGTGGGTTTCAATCTCTCGTTTGGCAGACGATAGCGCCTCAATGAGATTCAAGATCTGACTGGAATCGCGAGAGACAGGGGAACCTGTCCCGCTCTTCGGCTTTTCCGTATCGCTGCGCTTCAGCGGCGAGAACGATTCAGAGGCGCTTCGTGACAACGCATCGGGTTTCTCCGGCAGAGGCTGTTGAGGAGGAGGAGCGGGAGGATCCGAGAATCTTGAAAAGGAGTCGACTCGAGGCATTTTAGGCCGGCCATTCATTTGGCGATGAGCATTATTCTCCAAAGGAGATGGCTTAATAAGCTTTTCTTTCTCTGCATAACCTGGTTTCATGATCGTCGTCAAAAATTCATCTGCTTGAGAAAGATCTGTTGTTTGTTGCTTTGCGGATTTGAGTTCGCCCTAGAACAAGTCAGCAATATGTAGTATTGGGATAGATTGTGATTCGCACCGTGAGCCGCTTGACGACCTGTTCTATAGAGATTGGCGAGTTCCAGTAGTTCATTTGTCGTTGTTGATGTAAAGCACTCAGCTGATTGCTGGTAAAACTGTGGGCACTTCTGCTACTCGCGTTGCTACCAGCTCGACCGCGCATGTGAGAAAGCGGTTGACTCAAGGGAGAAGGGAGAAGGCCACCCCCGGAGGCAGGATCCAAGTCCCCGAAGTTCAGATCAAGGATACTAGGGGCAGTGCCATAGGTTCCGGCATGTTCAACCTTAGATGAGACTTTGTGATGGACGATGGTGGATTGGTCCTCGCTGACAATATCGATACCCAGCTCTAGAGTATCGCCTTCTCGCAATTCGTGCGGCTCTGACTCACGGTTCTCAGGAGACAGCCGCTGACCGTTCACAAATGTGCCGTTTGAGGATTTAACGTCTCGGATCCATATTTTGCCGGATTTGTCGGCCCATACCTCGGCATGCTGTCGAGAGAGAACTTTGGAGTCGAAGAACCCATTAAGAGGCGTGGGCACTGTTTTGGCGTTTGTTTGTCGCCCGATTCGCAGGACCTCGGGGTAGTACGGTACGTTGATCTGTTTCCTGTCAAAGGTGCCGTTCATTGGCAACAGAATCAAAATTGTTGGGTTCTCCGACGGCGGGCCGGCTGGCGCACGGATGCCATTCTGCTGTGATGACTGAGGCATCTGTTGCGAGGGGACGATGTTCGAAGGCTGATGCATTGCGGACATTGTCGACGACGCACTTGGGCCCGACGGTAAGGCAGGCACTGCCTGAGATCGCGCGTTCGTTACCCCTGATACCGGCTCGGATTTCGAGCTAGGCCAGATATTCTTCGAATGCTTCTTTTTTGATGACGACCAATTCTCTGATTCGCTGGCGGAATTCTGCGCGGCATGGGTATCTTGGGAAGGGGCGGTCACAGTAGATGTGGAGGAGGTCGAAGAGTTCGACCCCAGAGAGGAAGAGGAGTTTGAACGTTGAACGTGTTTCCGTGGCATGAACATCCGTGACACGTCGTCGGCATTCACTGAAGACAGAGCTCCTTCTCCTCCGTCGCTAGAGCTGTACCATCCCAAGCGAGACCCCGATTCGACACTAGGTGGAGATGCCACAGCAGTCATGGAGAAGGATGCGAATGGTTCAAGGTAATGGAATATCTAGACGGAGCGCGCCCACGGTTGCGAATTGTAAAAGGGGCCGGATTCTGAGGTAGTTTGAAGGGCGAAAAGGAGACGTCTGGTAATGTTTTGTTTATGTCTGAGGGTTGGGGATATTGAATGCGCGCAAGGGTGATTGGAGCTTTAGTCGCCCAACTAAAATGAAGACGGTCGCGTTAGTGCTGTTTGGGGGAGAGACAAATAAATTGGCTCCTAGGTCGAGGTCTTGCCTCGACCCCACAAAAAAATAGATATATATTTAGAGTAGAGAACGAACTTACTTCTGAATTGTGAGCTGAGAGATATTTAGGATTGAATAAAATAGGTGCTTCAAGACCAAGGAGTTGTGTGGAGGTCGGAAATCGTGAGCGACCTGTCTCACGCCAGGGCAATGATAGAAGCACAAGACGGGACTGCCGCCTCGGCGCAGGCTTCAGGCAGCCCTTTAAAAGATGTAAAGGAAAAGAAATCAAAGATCGAGGATAGTTGCCATGAGGGAACCCAGGCAAGAGCGCTAGATGGCCAGTTTCCCTACTCCCTTGACGCTGGCAGGCAAAATAGGTCACGTGCTATACCGGCACGTGTGCAATTTAAAGCCCGTTGGTACTCACGTGACTAAGGCGGAGAAGCATCAAGCCGGGGGAGGAAAAAGAGCTCGTTCCTTGACTATCACATCGGGATCTCTCATTCAGCTCAGAGCTGTTGACTGTTTTTAATTTTAATTTACAAGCTTCTTTTTAACCTTTCATAATGCCTGTCGTTGCTGGTCCCCCCGCTCAAGCGGGCCCAGGGGGTGGTGCTCCCTCAACTTTTGACAAGAGTATGTCATCTACAACCCAGTGATATAGATCACACTTCGCTTGGTGTTCTTGTTGGGGGGCGCTATATATGTTGAAACAATATGCTGACAATTTCTTAGTGAAAATGGGTTGCATGATGGGTTCCAGTACGTGATCGCAAGGCACAACCAAACCTTGTTCATCAAGAGCTTTTAGCTAACATAGCTCCCCTCTCAGCTGTTGGTGGCATCATGGGCTTCATCATTGGTTTGTCCCACTCAATCCCCAAATGAAGAAGTGCCGTATAAGCTAACTGGGAGCAGGAACCGTGACAATCTTCCAGTATGGCGCTGGGCCTAACGGTGTCATGCGGACTCTGGGCAAGTACATGCTGGGTTCAGGTGCCACTTTCGGGTATGGTTGACTCCTTGAGCTTACCAGTTTGCTTTAGAATCCCTGGCTAATCAATTTCTCTTCAAATAGTCTCTTCATGTCCATCGGTAGTGTCATTCGCTCCGAAGGACCTCAGAACGATGCCTGGCTCCGTGCTCGAGGACCCCCGATGATGCTCCCCCGACAGAGCCCGCTCCGGCCTATGCGCCAGTAAACACAATTTTCTCACAGTCTCAAGACTATTCGGGAAACATGCGACATGACCACTCCCTGGCGACGTCCCTTGTACGATATAATCTCTATGGTTAGGAGATCCTTTTTCTGGTGGTTTGAAGAGAAAGGACAACTACCAAAATATGGCTGTGACGGACAGGTTCATGGGTACTTGCTACTTCAGCACGCGATGTACATAATCTAGCAGTGCCCATAACATGGATGTTGAAGTTCAATTGTCCCAGTTGTTTCTAACCATGTTAGGCGTTATTGTGAAAATATATCCTTTCTTTTGGCTTCCACAATCCAGGCATATCCTTGGAAAGGAAACTCCCTTCCAGAGGTTTGGGAACGGGGTCAATCATATAACTCTTATTAGGAAAGTGCATTGAGCTCAAAGGGATATATCAAGCTACCTGGCCAAAGATCCCTATGTATGGCCCAGTCTGACTACCCTTATTGATTGAAGTTCAAAGTAAAGGCAAGAAATCTGGTTGATTCTGAATCTGACCACATTTGATCACCAAACTTCTAATAAAGCCGCAGTCAACTGTCATATTAGATGATTGAATTGTCATCTACGATTTTGTTTCAGACCTGGGCTTAGAAGTTGCGGAGGCCCTCAAATGTAAACCGGGGGTCACCTCCACTGTCCAGGCTAAACATTATTTCAAGCCTGTTGGCTTTGATGTGCCGAAGATCCTCGTCTATAACTACCTGCCTTGATCATAGCCACCAAGCTATAGAAAAGGTCTACTCCCAATCTTTTTTTTTTTAGTCATATCTGGTCTCTGCTTACAACTAGGCCCCAAACAGACAGTTGTACCAGTGATTCATTTCTGTTTGTTTCCGTTTGCCCGATGAATCCCGAAACCAGATGCAGATATCAATGTTGGATTGCTGTTCCAGCTGATCTCGGGGACTTTAGAGACTTAATCCCAGGCTATTCAAGTTGGGAACCATACTTTTTGGCTTGATATGGATAGGTATGTAGGTAAGTAGGACTTTGCATATATAGGGGTAGGCTGTGCCCTGGTGAAGGGTCAATATCAGAGTACGGGCAATGGAGGCAACTAGATGTCACAAGTACGGTCGCAGTATAATAATAGCATGAGAATGCCCCGTAGATATTACAGTGCTATAATCATAATCAGGTTTACTACTTTATTCCTTATGCTCAAACGAGTCACCGAAAATACTGTGAGCCCCTTATATGCGGAGGACAAAGTAAGTAGCAAGGCAAGTCTGCTTGCCAGTCATGTAAGCAGGTGGATTCTAGTTTGATCTGCAGATTTCTCAGATTGCCCAATAATGAAGCCATTTTTGCCCCCCTCAGCCTAAGATCACGGCCTAGTTCTGTTTAGATAGGCGGCGCTAGGACACCTTCCCCCAGCCACCCTGTTGCAGGCAACTTTGAATAACAGTTGCACATGATGGACATTTTGTCAGTTAGCTAACCAATGAGGGGTCGCTTAGTCTGACACTTGGGTTCTGGATATAAGAATGCGGCTCAAATTTGAGGAATATATAAGGAACCACCTCTGCCAGGACCTCTGCTAGGACCTCTGCTAGGGGTATCTGTCAACCGAGCCTCCGTCCCACCTTCCATCATGTCTACTCAGCTAGCATCTCGGGCCCTTCATTATAGTTGTACTTTGATAGCAAGCCTCTACTTTGTGATCTGCGCTTTATTCAATCGTGCTCCGGTAAAGAAAAGAAAGTCTCGCTCCAAGCGTCGCAGTCGACCCCGAGTTGTCTTGTCTGTCTTAATCGTTTTCACATATGTCAGTCAAACGGTTTTGAAAATCGCCACCGATGATTTGGACAGATCTCAACCGTTCCTGGTGCATATGACCTCTCAAGCAGTTGTATGGATTGCACTATGGCTGCGACAGAATCCTTCCAACTACAAAGTGGCTGGAGCGTCGTTGGTCACCGCTGGTTTTGAAGTTCCACTCCTTGCGCTCTCCTTGTGTCCCAAACCGAGACAATGGGCACCAATCACGCAGATCACCATCTCAGCGGCCCGACTTGCCCTGCTTGTCTGTGTGACAACTGCGATTTTATTCGAGACCAGACAGAGGAAGAAAAAGACATCGGAAGAGTCGCGCCCTTTCTTAAATGGTAACCATACAGGATATGGCGCAGTGAATGGTAACGACTCGGATAATAGCAGTGTGGACTCCAAGAGCGAAAGCGACTCGGACACCGCCAAAAATAAGAACGATGCAGCTACGCGCAGGAAAAGGCTCCGCAATGACAAGTTGCAATCGATTGGGGGCTGGTGGGATTATCTGAAAGGTTTCTCGATCTTTCTGCCTTATTTGGTCCCCAGAAACAATCGCAATGTGCAGCTTTGTATTGCTACCAGCATATTCTGTCTAGTATGCCACCGAGCCCTGAATATTCTCATTCCTCAGCAACTCGCAGATGTCACTGATAGCATCTTTGCCAACAAAGCCCCATATGGTTCACTAGGAAAATGGGCGCTACTACAGCTGATCCGTGGCGGAGCTGGGCTAGGATTGATTGAGTCCCTCGTCAAGATCCCGATCAGGCAGTTTTCCTACCGTCAGATCACCAATGCTGCCTTCAACCATGTGATGAATCTATCAATGGATTTCCATATTGAAAATGACTCGGCAGAAGTTATGAAGTCCATCGACCAAGGTGGAGCGCTGAACAATCTGTTAGAAGTTGCCATTCTAGATATCGTCCCGACTGTGGCTGATTTGGCTATCGCATGTGTTGTTTTCTATTTGAAGTTCAATATCTACGCGTCCCTTCTGGTGGTTATAATATCTATTGCTTATGTTGCGGCAGAGGTATTTACCTCTAACTGGAACATGGACGCCAGACGTGAAGTTACACAGACACAGCGAAACGAAACTCGCATTATGCATCAGGCCGTTCAAGGCTGGCAAACCGTCACATACTTCAACCAGTTCTCGTATGAGAGATCTCGCTTCGGAGAAGCAGTTGACCTATGCCTAAAGGCCAGCGCCCATTTCGGTCGACGCCGAGCAATTGGCAAGTCACTCCTGGATTTGCTTAAGCCAATTTGCTTCGTTGGTCTCTCCTCACTCATCGTACACGAGATCTATGTGGGGCGTTCCTCTACGGGAGACTTCGTTTTCTTCATTCAGTATTGGTCTTCGCTCATCTCTCCTTTGGCCTATCTTTCCGCGCAATATCGCTGGCTTGTTTCCGATCTAGTTGATGCCGAGCGGCTACTCTTCCTATTCCAATCCAAACCCAGCGTCAGTGATAGAGAGTGGGCAATGCCACTGAAACCTGGCGATGGCCGTGTTTCATTCCACCATGTTGATTTTGCCTATGATTCTCGGTTAAAGACCCTCAAGGACGTGGATATTTCTATCGAACCCGGGACAACAGTTGCACTAGTCGGTATGACTGGTTCAGGAAAGACCACCATCCTTAGACTTCTTCTCCGACTTTACGACGTTACTTCTGGCCAAATTGAGATTGATGGCCAGGATATCCGTGACATAACCCTGAGCTCGCTACGTCAGACTATCGGCGTGGTCCCACAGGATCCTGTCTTATTTAACGCATCTATCATCGAGAATTTGCGGTATGCCCGGCCCTCGGCCTCGGATGAAGAGGTGCACGAAGCATGTCGCGCAGCAGCTATTCACGAGAAAATCCTCACTTTCGTGGACGGATACAACACCACAGTCGGAGAGCAGGGGGTCAAGTTGTCTGGCGGCGAACTACAGCGAATGGCCATTGCTCGGGTTTTCCTGAAGAAGTCACCGATTCTCCTGCTAGATGAAGCAACGAGCGCCGTAGATTCAAACACGGAATCGGATATCCAAGTTGCCTTGGACCGGTTGAGAGCCAAGCGAACTACATTTGTCATTGCGCATCGACTTTCAACTATTTCTAGCGCTGATCGGATCCTTGTTGTGCATGAGGGTCAGGTTGTCGAGAGTGGGTCACATAAAGAGCTGTTGAAGAAAGAGGGTGGAAGATATCAGAACCTCTGGCAGAATCAGTTCGGGGGTATCCAAGGTGGAAAGCCTGCGCTGTAGGAGAGAGAACTGAATTTGGAAATGACAAGGCTATGAAGATAATTTAAAAGATGTAACTAATGAAATTGACAAATTGACATACTCGAGCTTTTAATACTAGTCTTTACCCTGGGATCTACAACGTATGCAGGCATTTGCCGGGTTCTCTGTGCGTCAGCTAAATCTAATGCTTATATGAGCTGCACTTCAGAGAGATTATCGTGTAATCGACTCTGCTAGATAAGTCTAATATACTTGGAAACTGACATAACTATGTATTCAAACACAATGATAATATGTATTGACCTTTGTTGTAGATAAGAGCATGGCATTCCGCGAACTAATGAACTGGTGATACCTACGTAGGTACCGATATATATCTTAACCGGTCCTTATAGTAATAAGTGCTAGTCTTAAAAACTACTATTTCCGAGGCATAGATTCTTATGCGAGTACCCAAGTAAATAATAGCAGTAGCCAAGTAGCCATGAAAGTATATTAACAACTGAGAATGAATATAACTACACAATTGGATTATTCCAAGACAAGACCTTCGCTTTCAAGTTCGTTGCCTCATTTATCATGCATCGACGCACTCGATTACCAGCCAACTGTCGTCTATTGGCCCTTATTTTGGTCTCCGGACATGCAATCTCACTGAACAAAAATGTGAGATTGAGCACGAAGCTAGAGAGGAAAAAGAGTGAGCCACCCCTTTCTACTTTGTTTTCATTGCCACCTCTTTTTATTTTTTCTGTCCAGATGACCTTAGACGGGTGAGTATGGGCTATAAAGTGGATAATGATCATCTTAAAATTTTTATGTTGATCGACACGACAGAGTATAGCTTGTCGTATTTCTTATTGTTGTATTATTGAGGTCGTGTTCGAAGTGGGTACGGACATAGGGCTTGCGAGCCCAAAGAGTTCAGAGCCCCTCGAAAATACCCCTCTTACAACAATGACATGTTCATGCCAACACACAGAATATGTCCACTAAAATATATGTATAAGACTGGTAGGGATATATGAACGAGTGAACAACATCGAATGACTCACCGTTCCTCACCGTTCCTCCCCAGACGACGCTATGGAGTAAAGATTCCCAACACAGTAGTCCCGAGCGATGATCGTTCGTTTTTCGTTCCTGAATGGAACCACGGAAGCGATCCACTGAGCCTTATGGAGTATCCTTTTCTCAATAGCGTGGGAACCGGGGCAAATTGGAGTAAAATTTCAATATCGGCTAACGGGGGGAACTATCGGATTCACTTTTTTTAAGGCAAGTAAGATGTAAGATCAAGATCCAAGCCAAATACAACATACTTCACGAACTGTCTGTTATTTTTATGTTTAAGACTCTACCGAATCACAGATCGTTGTTCCTGCGCATGATGCCAGGGGCCCGGAACAGGCGGAAGTCCCCGCGAAGGAGTGAGCACTTGCAGTAGTGTATGATGCCCAGCGAGAATCGTCATTCTATCACTCTAGGGGTAGTAAGACCAAATCACCAAACAGTATGATAGCAGAACGGGTAAAATCAGCCAGTTCAAGCAAAGTATGGAGTAAGCAAAGGCGCTTCCTCCAAGAACAATATGGGTTCTCAATTGTTGAATAAGGAAATTTCCTAGACAGGGATTAGGCTGGGATAGGCTGGGATTGGGAAATGCCGAAATTACACCATATGGAGTACACTTAGGCGAAGAATTTCTCGTATTAAATGCACCTAGGGTACCCGGGCTATGGGACCAAGTGATTTCCCTGAAATTACGAGATCAACAAGTGAGATGGCAATAAACAAGTCTATGGCAATTAACTAGTTAACTAGTTACCTAGGTAGTTATAACTACGAATAATCACCACAGACTTGACCCCTGGCGTCAAAGAGTCTGTGCGGAAGACCCTTTGGCCTTTTAGGGCTTCGGAATATCATAGTTCGGTCTGAGATGGAGTCCAATCTTGGATGAGACCAATAGGATGATCATATTTTCATTCCAAAATCAATATTAATATAAAAAAATCAAGGGAAAAAAAAAACAGAAGCGCCACAAGACTTCTTTGATGGACGAATGGTTCTGTTTTCCCCAGGTTCAAGACGTGTGCTCGTGTCTGTGTGTGTTATTATTTAGCCTGCATTGCCACCTGGTAAAATTTCCTTTTCCTTTTTTCTTTTTTCCCTTTAGGCGCATTAGAGATTTCTACACTCATTTACTAGTCACTCGTTTTATACTGTTTGAGCAGTGCTCTATACAATCATTATATCATTATATTCGATTTTTTTCTTATCTTGACGCTCACTCTTTTGCGATCAAATCTGAAACATATCTCTTCTCCAAGTACTCATACTTTGAGCCGCACCAACGTTTCAAACAACGAACTTTGAAACCAATTCAATCACCTTCCTCCCTCTTCCATATTGATATTCGCTTTCGAATCAATTCAAAAAATGAAGTTCACTACTGTCATCGCCTCCCTCTGCCTGGTCGCGGCTCCACTCGTCGCCGCAGAGGAGACCACTACTTCAACTGCAACCACGACCATCACCAAGACTCTGGTTCGTGTCAATTCGGTGACCCCAGCTCCTAGTTCTAGCATGAGCTCCAGCGTGGGCTTCAGCACGAGCAACGTGGCCACCATGTCTGTTTCGACATCGACTCCTCTGTCTCGCGCCACCTCAACTACTTCTGCTGCTGCCGCAGCCACTCCCTCCACCGGTGCAGCGGCCAACATTGGCGCTGACATGCCAGCTGCCTTGGCCGCCGCCGGCTATATCGTTGTGATGGTGGGCCAGGCCCTATAATCACACTCGCCATGTCGCGACTTCTCGACAAGAAGCCTTCACACAGGCAACGATCATGAATTGAGACCATTGGCCAATACTGCGCTCAATTCATACTGCATGACTGCTGCCTTGTTGATTACCGTTCATCTCCAGCTGAGCCGGGATTTTATTCTATTTTTATTTTTATACCTTTTAACATTTCTTATTCCTCTCGGTTGGCTGAAGACCCCATTTTTGGAGAGGAAACGGTTTAACGCTTTTTCAAATACCCCCATTTCTTTTTTTCATTTCTTTATGACTTTTTGGACCTATATGAGTTGATGCTGTTATTATTCTCTTCTTCAAACCCTGTTCATTTCAATTCGTTTGTCCATATACGTTGTCGTGGGTGACTTACTCGTCAGACTGGCCTGGTTGATATAGTCATCCACAGAATATAGACACTTTATTTCTTCTCTTCTTTGATACCAAAACTCCAATTGTAAACCCTAGTAGTAGCAACGTAGTCAAAAGAATAAAGAAGATCATGCCGATCCAACATTCCAGTGGAGAAGCCGTGAGCCCCGAGGTCAACTGATATGCCCGTGCACGTGTGATCTGATCTTATCTTTTGATCTCCATTCCAACCGGGTATGCAGGTGGTTGGGTCGTCTTCATTTCGACAATATATGAGACATCTCAATTGATTCCTCAATTGATCTTGATCCCAGATCCTAAACCCTTATCTCCCCAATCGCGCCATCTTAGCGCGTTTGTTGACACCCGCAGCTCTCCATTGCGGGTCTCCACAAACGCGTCGCGGAACTCCTCCACTCGAACACCAGATAAAACCGTGCTTGAATATAAACCCAATGATCCAGGCCGACAATCACAAGAGACTCATCTGAACCCGCGAATCGAAATCGCAATGGACAGCGAGATCCCCCTCCCACCGCCGCGGCGAATCCGACACCGCTCGCCCGCGAACGCGAACCCCTCAGCAACAGGCATAGCGGTCTCCTCGTTCCAGCGGGCACAGCGACTGTCGCGTTTCGATGACCGCTCTAGTCAGCCATCGAGTGATCCTGCGCTCTTCTCCAGTGACGATATACCGGCTTCCGGGCTGGAGAACTACCATGCGACGGTGTCAGGCGCGGGTCGCAAACGGCGGTATCGCGGGACTTGGTGGGGGGAGCAGGTGCTAGACCCCAAGCGGAAACGGGCAGAATTTAAGGACAAGAGGAATGTTGATAGCGGTGTTTGGATGGGGAGTGATGAGTCTGGCGCTGAGTCGCTTTTGCCCTCGGAGGATGGCTCAGCGTGGGGGGAAGACCTGCGCAAGTCTGTGCTGGATCCTAGAAAACCTGGAAGTTCAACACCTTTCATCGTCGAGACTGAGAATATGCCTACGCAGAATCGTGTTGTATTTAAAAGTCCTGAAGAATCCGATGCTCATCGGTTTGCACGGGAGGTCGTCGGCGATTGTCTTGATACGGGACATGAGAGCATTGATTTAGGGTATGTGTTAATTGCCCTTTTCATCCGATGTTGTAGTCTCATCTGATACTCCATTTGTCTGATGTCCAAGCCAATGATACTAATATCTCTTTCCTACACAGCGACTTCCATCTGGAAACCATACCATCTGGTCTCCTACGACCTCTACAGCACCTAACGAAGCTTCCATCAGTCAAGGAAGCCCCAGTCTCGGAAAACGTCTTCACGTCTTTGCAGCCTTTCCTCAGCATATATCTCCCCAACAACTCCCTGTCAACCTTGCACAACGATCTCTTCGAGCTCACCAACCTCAAAGTCCTCAGCCTGCGAAACAACAAACTGACCGAAATCCCATCTACGATCCGCAGATTGACAGCACTGGAGGTGTTAAACCTTTCCGTCAACCAATTGTCCTACCTTCCCTGGGAGCTGCTCAAACTCATGCAACAAGGCGAACTAAAACACCTAACCGTCCGCTCGAACCCATTCCTCCCAATGGAAAAAGCGCAGATCGCAGAATGGCACAACACACCAACCAATAAAAAGGAAGCAAAGAACGACGAGGCTTTATCTCCTCCACTCGAATTCGAAGATCAGGAATTTTCTCTCGGCAGGGGCTGGTCCCCTCTCCACATCGCAACGGGCCCAATCACCTACATGGACATGGAGGGCAATCCCATGAGAGACAGCCCATTCCGCAATAAATCCACTCTCACACCGTCAGGACTGAAATCTCCTGTGAACGACGCCCCGTCCCTGCGCGAAGTCGCGCTCCGCGCTGTGAGCAAGCTCCCCTACCTGGAGCAAACTACCGACGAAGAGCTAGCCGAGTATCCTGCGATGATTGTGCCCTTGCTGCGACGGGCGAGGGAAGTGCGTGCTGCGGGTGGACAGCTCTGCTCCGTATGCCGTCGAGAGTACGTGATTCCTCGTGCTGAATGGATGGAGTGGTGGGACTTTACCCCGTGTGAGAATGGGATGAAGATGCCTCGTTGTCCCGGTGAGACGCTTAGGCCTTTGCCGTTCCGGCGGTTTGGTTGTAGCTTGTCGTGTGTGCCGCGGTTTTGTTGAACACTGCATTGACGTCTTCTCTGGGTGATGGTTCCTTCTTTTCTTTTCTCTTTTCTCTTTTCTTTTTTCGGGATTCATTTTGTATGTATTTGGTTTGTATGTTTATATGGATTGTGGTGCTGGGAACTTGTATTTTAGTTACACTGTAGAAATTATGACAATGTAGGTGTGTTTACTACTTTTTGTTCATCAAAGGTTGTACTCTGTAAATGTACTGAGATGAACCTGTCTCTACGTCCATAAATCCGTGGGGAAATACAACCATAGCCCCGGATACATTAACTCCGTCACCTCGCCCTTAAGTCCGAGGCATGCAGTAAGAAAGCAATATAAAAGAGCGGTGATATCCTGACATTAATCATCTAAATTTCTTGCAAATCGAAACCACAACATAAAATCGAAACTTCACCTTAATCCAACATCCCACAACACCCACCAGAAAACGACTATGTCTACCCAAGCACCAGCGATGACCACACAAACACCAACCTTCACCAAACCCGACCGCCCGCTAACCTGGCTAATAACGGGGTGTTCCTCTGGCCTGGGTCTTTCACTCGCACGCGCCGCCCAATCAAACGGCCACACTGTACTCGCAACATCACGACAACCCTCCCGCACCCCGGATCTAGTATCGGAGATAACCAAGAACGGAGGCGAATGGCACACACTGGACGTCGACAGTCCAACCGCTGCGTCGGAGCTGGTATCCAAGCTCGAGTCTGCGGGACACAAGATCGATGTGCTGGTTAATAATGCCGGATACGCGATCCTTGGAGCAGTTGAGCAGTTCTCGGACGAGGAGCTGCGGGCACAGATGGAGACTGTGTATTTTGGACCGAGTCGGCTGATCAAAGCTGTTGTGTCTGGGATGAGAGAGAGGCGGTTTGGGGTTATTGTTAATGTTAGTTCTGGGGCTGGGTTGGAGGGGAGGGAGAGTATGGGTGCTTATGCGGCGGCGAAGGCTGCTATGGATGGTATGTTCTCATTTTCTCGTCTTCTGTTGAAGAATCCCTCGTTCATGTATTGATGTGTATCTCTGCAGGTTTATGTAAAGTGCTCGCTAAAGAAGTCGCGCCGTTCAATGTCCGTCTCCTGACGGTGTGGCTGGGTGTGTTTAACACGCAGTTCGGAACTGGTTGTCGTTCTCCCGCTAGCCCTTTGCCGGTGGACTATGCTGGATCTGTCGCTGCGCAGACGCTGGATGTTTTACTGACTGGTAAGCTTGTTGCTGATGGTGATAAGAATAAGGCTGCCAAGGCGATGTATGAAGTTGTCGTTGGTGAGGGCGTTGGTGTTGGGCGTGAGAGCGAGAGGTTCTTGCCTTTGGGTCGGGATATGATCCCTCGTGTTGAATTAGTGCGTGATCGGCTGGTTCATGCACTGGATGTGTTTGGGGATATTACTAGGAATGTCTATGTTGAAAAGGAATGAGGTTGAGGACAACCAAGTGTCAATGGAATCAATTCAGATATCCATCCTACCAAAATAACATAACATACAAGATTTGAACGATTGACCCGCGGTATATCCCAGCCGCTTCAACAATGCTTGTAGGCACTCTGTAACTAGCCCAGCACGCCGAACTGTTCTCACCCAACGCCAAGCAGATTTAAATCATAAGAAACTCCAAACGACCGCTAATACAGCATGCTTCAATACAAGGAGAGCAGATCCCACAGGATGGGAGGGGGAATGGTTTAAAAAAAAAAAAAAAAAGGAAATCGAAAAGAGTGAGAGAATATAGACGTTAGCGATTACGGTCCGCGCGAGCCTGGTGCCATATGGTATCGCCGCTCAGAGCAGAAAAGCTAAGCGTAGCCAGGTTTCGCCAGCTTGATTGTGGGGCAGAATTTGCATGGTCGTCAAGGAGACCTGCATTTTGTTCCGTATCTGAAGTATCGTCATTGGCGCCTTCAATTAGCACTGGAGCGGAAGATGCGCTGCCCCGAGAGACCGGCTGGGTGGAGTGAATGTCATCATTGAGTTGCTCACGATGACCCCGAGAATCACTGGATTGACAATGGGCCAACGAGCGGACAACATCGCCTTTACAGATTGGACAAGTTCTTCGACGAGTAGTCAACCAGGGGGTACTGAGAAAAGATGTTAGTAAAATGTCAGAACAAAGGCCAAATTCTTTAATGCCACTTACATGCATTCCACATGGAATTCATGACCACATGGTAAGCTCATGACCCGACTCTGACCATCAATGTATTCCTCAAGGCATACGACACACTCCACCTGCCGTCCTGTATACTTGCGTCGCCACAAGGTAGATCCGGTTTGAATGTTGTACTTCTCTTCTTTGGGAATAGTAGATGAGTCTAACATAGTGCCCGAGAATGTTTGTGAACGTGATCTATGTGATCGGGATGCGCTTGGCCGGCTTTCATTGCCAAGGAGTGGGGAAGTCGGGGAGAGAGGGCCGGGACTAGGGGGACGCGTTGAGTTGGAAGACGAGGAAGAAGTGGTAGCAATTGTGTGGTAGGTTCGGACAGGGAGTCGTTCGATAACCGACTTCGGGGCACGCCAGCGACGGCGGCGGATTCGAGATCGGAGCAGCAAAAGAGCATAAACCACCGTCAGCGTGAGCAAAGGACTGACGACAAGGACCAATAAAGTATCGAAAAAGGGGCTGGTTGACATGCTGGTAGGTGTCATGGTAACCCAAAGACCCTCGTGTTCAGAAGACTCCGCGTTTAGACGGTTTGATGTATGATGGTTATTTCCCATCTTCTGGTTTGCTGTAATGCTTTTCTGAAGTGATGGCGATGAAGAAGGCTGAGGGTCTTGCTGAGTATCATCTCCCCATCCAAAGTGACTCAAGAACCAGCCCTTCGTAGAAGACCCAGACTTCTCATGAGTTCCGATGGATTCTTTCTCGGGCCCCTTGAGGCGTGTGTCATGAGAACTAGCACCGGATTTATCGATGCTCTGGTATTCTCCACTTCCTGGTGTGATGCTACCACCCTGAAGGCCATTGGGCGAGGAAGCAGCATCCTTATCTGCGCTGGCAGTCTTGGAGGTATCCTTGCCAGGTACAGAGGTGCTAGCTGTCGGAGGTGTGTTACTCTTAGGAGGCATCAAGTCGGGATCTCTCCAGTCCTGAACCCCGATGACAAAGTCATCATCCTCAAAAGTTTCAGGGGACATGTCGGCTTTGTGGCTGTCGAATGCGTCGTCGACCTTGGCCCCGCCACGGTGATTGAGATCAGTTGATCTTCTCCAAGTGCTCGAAGGGGCCTCTTTTTCATCCCGTGAGCCTAGGTTGATCCAGTCAATGTTGCCACTGCTGGGCGGACGTCGGCTGTCTTCCAAATGCCGCGAACCTCCGTTCTTATCGCACAATCCCAGGAATGCACCAATTGAGCGGAAAAAGCCGCCTTTTGGGTGAGACGAGGGCGCCGGCCTCTCCTTAGCTGCTGAATGGCTGCTCGTAGTTGGACTTGGAATAGTTGTTGGTGTTGTAGTAGTAGTTGCCACCCGTTCTTTCTCAGAATCAGCCTGTCCTGCCAGCTTCGCTTGTGATGATTTTAATACATCTCCCAAATTGGCAGTTCCACCCGCATGCCCAGGAACTAATGACGATAAAAGATGAGCAGTAGTGTGGGATGTGAACAATGCCGGGATCGTGACGTTCGATGTATCGCCTCGTGCGTACATAGTGACCAAGTTGCCACCTCGAGTATCATCGCCGACAATCAAAGCAACCCCCCTCGTCGTTGCGCCCACTTGGCCTTTTCCAAAAACCCACAGCCACCCCGACTCAACAGTACCACCTTACCCTGGATTTCGGCAGTTTCCTGTAGTGATTGGATGTCGGCATGCGCAGGCGGCTTGTTTTGGACGTAATCTCCATACTTCTGACTCATCCCGGGGTTAGAAGCACCGGATTCAGGGAGTGGATGATGTAGATGATCGTCCGTGCCGTCGTTCGTCAAGGGCGGGGTGATCGAATCATCTCTATCGTTCTGAGGTATAGTATCGGCCTGCGACACCGACCGCGGGCGATTTGACGATTGATCGTTCACTGTACTACCCCCGGATATGCCGGAACTCTGCTCCGTGCTCCTGGGGCTTTTGTCTTGTTTCTTATGATTAGTGCCCTCACCCCAGCCGGGAATATCGGAGCAGCCTAGTTCTCCTTCTACACCACCAGTTAATCCCCCCTCGCCAAACCCACTTCCCACCCATAACTGACCGCTGAGGCCTTTGGTTGGCAGCAGCGGGCCAAATGCCGCTGGCCGGGCGAGGAAGAAGGTCGAGTTATCATCGGTGAGACTGATAATGGCCGACGGGGGGAAAAGGGACGATGGTATGTTGAAAGAAAATAAAGCGCGCAACCCCGTTGTCTGATCAGCGAGCGTGTTGGGAGTTGCTACATCGGGCGACGTGAGCACGGAAAAAAAGGTGAGGAGGATCGGAAAGAAGATAAGGCAGAAGAGGACGATGAGTAGGCGTGGCGGTCGCATGTCTCTGATAGATGGATTTAACCACTTGAATCGAAGAGTGGCTTGGTTGGAGGTATCTAATCACAGTAAAATGGGGTGGATCGAGTGAATGATGGTACCACAGTACTTCGGGTGGACTCTTTATGACCAATCCAACAGTTGGCGGCAAGCTAACAGGCGGCCACTCATCGAGTACAATGAGCAGCACTACGGCTGGTTGAAGAAATTCGACGGATTAAAGCCAACGCGAGTGCAAGGCAAGTCAAAGGGAACAACAAGTCAAGATAGAGACACAGAGGAGAGTTCAAGTGAAGTCAGGTGGAGAAGGGGAAGTGAACGCATGATGTGGATTATCTAACCCCAGGTCGGTGACGGCATGCACACCGGTCATGTGTTGGAAGCCTGAGGCATAATTTAGGCCTTTGTGCCTCAGATCACATGACTCTCTTAATAATTAAGTAAGTATATTTAACATACAATATTGGAAGGGAAACGACCTTAAAATGGTAGTAATATTGGACCTTGATGTATATTGGCTTATTTAACCACTTTAGTTCTCTTTATCTTTTAGCAACAGGTGCTTTAAAGGTCGAAAAAAAGACTCCAACAAGCATTGTGCGAGAAAATTTGACGATTTAAAGGACTATAACAAATTCTGCAATTTGTACAACGACACAATATGTTAGCACGATGGTATTGTACATCTTTTGCTTGCTCCTCTTTTGTATCTCGCAATAACAGGCATATATTGTAGGTTTGATATTCGATACCTCTTCCAAGGTTCTTCGACCCAGAGCTACCACTGCCGATCATGTCATCACCTGCGTACTGCAAGGCAACTACATAACCCACCGCCTTTTTGACTTTTGATTTGAATCGCGTTATCAATTCAAGCATAGCTATATCATAAAATGTACGCTGTAGTAGCTGATGTTATAGTAGCTGATCGAATCATCTAACATATTCTACGATATTCAATTTAATATCAAGGCACACTCACGAGATATTGCCCCACTTACCATATGTGGATTAGTGTGGAGACTGCCTGTGGGATATCTATGACGTAGGTGATCTAAAACAGGACTAGCGTATACTGGACATATCATTCTAGAAAATCTTTGTCTGCCTTAGATATGTCAACAACACCTTCTATAAGAGTAAGAGGGTACAAATAACGCCACAGACTCTTCCCATGAAGACATAAGATGAATTAGTAGCTAAATTTCCATTGCCCATGGTATAACAATGCCAAACTTGGAGAATAATTGGCACGAATAATTGGCACGAATAATTGGCACGAAATTGTAAAACCCACTTAATATGAAATCCCAGTCGGCATGTGGCCGTGCCGATCTATAAGGTATCCTTGCAAGATTTAGCTCAGTGGCGTGCTTGGTCTTGTAGACCCGGAACATGACGATTGATGACATTGATAGCTCTCCTCATTTTCAGCCAAGAACATTCATCTTTATATGTAAACCCGTTTGGTACTTTGATACGTCATGACAGCTCTGAACGGGACAGCTATAAGGTTCTGGTCCATGTCTCACCTGTAATTGTACTCGTGGAACCCCCGCGTTATGGCGTCACTTAGTCTCCGCAAGTAGAGATCTACTCATGACCTGATCAGGACAAGCAAAGACAGCAAAGCATATAAACTCGCTATTCGAAACACTTTCTCTTTCACTTCTCCCATCAACACAAAACCATACAAATCAAAACAATCTATTCAAACTTTAACTTCTTTTATCTCACAATCACAGCATATTACCATCCATCATGTCGAGCTTTATTCACAAAGTAAAGGATGCCGTGACCGGTCATCATGATGAATCCAAGACATCCAGCAGCAAGATCGATGGTTTGTTGCTCCTAATAAGTATATATTGCACTATGATCCTAACAATTCTATTTATATAGATGCCCGCGATACTTACGGATCCTCACACAACACCACGGACAACGCTCCTGGCAAACACACTTCTACTGGCGCAGGCTCCAATACCTATGACTCTGGCTCTGGAGGCGGCTATGGTAATACATCCACTACCGGTGCTGGAGGCTATGGAAGTGGCACTGGCGCCGGTGGCCTAAATTCTAGCTCCGGTTATGAGACAGGTACCTCGACTGGCGCTGGAGCTGGAGGCTACGGCACCGGTGCTAGCACTGGCCACAGTGGTCACAGCTCTGGTACCGCCTACGACTCCCGCAAGGGCCCAACTGATGCCGGCTCGGGAACGTCTGGGAACTACGGCAGCAAGTCTGATACCTACGGATCCAACACTGCTGGCGGATATGGCTCGTCTAACACTGGCTCCAGTACTACCAATGCTGGTCCTCATGACTCTAAGATAGCCAACAAGCTTGATCCCCGTGTCGATAGCGATCTCGGTAAGTTTAAGCTTGCTATTTACTCGCTACTTTGAAACCCCATAATACTAGAGTCAGATATCTAACATGATATACCATTACAGACAACCGAGGGAAGCACGCTGGAACTACAGGCTCCAGCAACACTTACGGCAGCAACACCGGCCGTTCTTCTGGACAGACCGGCTATGGCTCCGGTGACACTTACGGCAGCACCACTGGGCAGGCCAGTCATGGCTCCAGCAACCCCTTGGCTGGTGGCACCTCTGGTCACTCTTCTGGACAAACTGGCTATGGCTCCGGTGACACTTACGGCAGCAACACTGGCCGTTCTTCTGGACAGACCGGCTATGGCACCGGTGACACTTACGGCAGCACCACTGGGCAGGCCAGTCATGGCTCCAGCAACCCCTTGGCTGGTGGCACCTCTGGTCACTCTTCTGGACAAACTGGCTATGGCGCCAGTGATACCTACGGTAGCACCACCGGTCACTCCACTGGAGGTCACTCCACTGGACAATCCGGATATGGCTCGAGTAAGCCTCTCTCTGGTAGCGACAACTATGGTAGACAGTCGGGCTATGGATCTGGCAACACTGCGTCTGGGAACGACAACTACGGTAGCAACACTGGCCGCTCCACTGGACAGTCTGGCTATGGCGCCAATGACTCCTACGGAGCCGGCGGTGGTACCGGCTACAATGACCAAACCTCAAAGACCACTGGAGCCCATGGCTCCGATCTATTGAACAAGCTTGACCCCAGAGTTGACGAGAATGCGGCGTTTGGTAGCCAGCGCAACTACTAGGCGATTTATGAGTGATGTTATGAGCTTCCTCTAGGCTATATTCCTAAATTTATTTTGTATTTTATGAGAATGACCCAACAATATCAATATCCTTTTCTGTTTTATCCCACTGCCTTCCAATGAATCTCAATAAGTTAGCTACGGTAAATACATATTTGGCCAAAAAGTCTCGATTCAGGCTTCGTTCCTATTTATATAGCTCTTTTCTGTGACAAAAATAAAGAATTCACCTTCGACAATTCCTTCTTCGGCACCTCTTCTGCCTAAATATTTCTTTATTCACATTGTTGGGCATTACCTGCATATATAGATAGGCACGTGACCACCGTTGCCCTCATTTGCCCAAACATATTATACATTGTCAAAGGTATAACATAACTATCAAATGATATGAGTGAGATACTCAATGTTTCTCCTCCATCCTTCCCTCGGCTATGGTGTAATTTGTGTTATAGGACAATTGTCAGAAAAGGGGGGAATCCCAAAGAAGACATTAGACTAGATATTGGTTTATATATCGTTTTTAACCCAACTGAATTTTCAGTTTATTTAAGCCCTGTAGTCCGTGGTCAAGGAAATAGGCTACATGGTCCTGACATTCCAGTGCTGCCTAGGTGGAGTGACCAGGTAAACTAACTACATACAGTGCGTCCAAGGTTCTGCACTGCATCAAGTATATCCTATCCATAAAGACCCGAGCGAGATCGTACGAAAATATTGATGTAATTGCCTGGAGTGATCAACAAGCATAGAAATAAGAAGAATCAAACCAAAGCCTGCTATAATTCCAAACAGGACAGCTTCTAATGCGATGTACCCACTTCACTAAAGTGAGCCGAGCCCGATAATTCTAAACATTATACTACAAGCGACACTAGCACCCATTACCACAAGATATTGCGCTTGATACCGAAGTGAGAGAAGAAAACAAGAGCAAAAAGAAGTTCATAGACCCGAGGCCGGGTACACTGTCTTGGCGAAGTAGAAGAATAGAGGAATCGTCACGAATATCAAAGGGTAGTGAAGCATCCCTAAGGGAACAAAAACCAACAACGCAGAGCCACAATGTATGGTTGATCAAGTCAATCGCCGAGACGCCGTGTAGAATTGTTCGTCGGGTATGCGGCTGCATATTACAGAAAGGGTAATATTAGGACAAGAGAAAAAAAGAAACAATGCCATGAAGGTCAGTCACCACACACGAAGGTATCATGAATTTCGGAGCCGAGTTGGAATTAGCAGGACACGAGGTTTACATGATGGTCATTCAATGCGGCACAGGCAAGCACAGTCCGGTGGGGATGGAAGGCAGTGCTGGCAATGGGGGAGGATCGGTTGTGATGAAGGAAGCTCGAATATGGCTCGAAAGTGGAAAGATAGGTGCCATCCACGTTGAAAGTCTTAACTTCGTGGCGATTTGTACCCCTGGGTCATGTTAGCTCTGAACAAACAAAAATCAAAATATTACGGGGGAGGCAACGTACATGCTAAAGACAGGAGCGTGCTCGTGAACACTCAAGGTCCGCAGGGTGTCTTTGGTAGCATAGATGGTGGAGATCGGGCTATCCATGCGAAGATCCCAAAGTCGGACCTCGCCATTGCGGCCACCTGATATCAATTCTCGTAGACCACCACGCTGCATATGGACATTGGTGATCCATTGCTTGTGCTCACGCCAAACCTTGACCATGGATGTGGTCGGCTTCAACCGTTGATCAAAGACTCGGACAGCACCGTCACCGAAACCGGCAACGAATATGTTACCCGCTACTTGGTCAGATGTCAATGATGTGATGCAGGAACCCGATCGTGCGGGAATGTCCTGTTGTCGAACTTTGTGAGTAACGCGACATATTTGTAAGACCGGACGTTTAAGACTTACGTTTGTGCACACCTCGGTAGCAGCATTCCAGACACGGATAACCTTGACATCACCTGCAACCAGAGCTTTGCCCTGACCCTGCTGCCAATCAAGCACAAGGCCTGCGTTGCGGTTGCTTGGAATAAGTTCAGGGAGGGCTCTGAAGGCCGTGACCACTTCAATATTCTTATTAGTCTCGTAATGGCGGAAAAGCTTGATCACACCGTCGGAAGATCCAGTCATAAGTAGTGCCTGGTCGTCCTCATTGATGTATCGAACTTCGTTGATCTTTGACCCGACCGGGTTGCCGTTTGAGAATTGATTGAGGCGTTTGTGGCTTTGCCAGTCCCAAATGCTATATGAAACCACTGGTTAGAAGAACATACAAAATACAAAAAAAAAAGCGACTTGTTTGTACTCACGAAATTGTATCCCGGTCATCTGCGACAGCAAGGTGATCCTCGAATTGATGGAAGCACATCTTGTGGGGCTGGCTACCATTCGATAGCAAAGCAACCGAGTTATCCCAGCGGCTCGCTCCAGCTTTTCCTTTGAGGGGTTGGGTCTCGGCGATAATCTTTTCGTTGCGGCCGCGTCTCCAGAGGCGCTGGTTGTAGTCAGAGCTACCGGGCTCATCCGGCTCGTTGGGTTTCATCTGAGGCTCCCGGAAATACTTAAAAATGGTGAGTAAACGTAGATAATAATAAAGTTGTAGGACTCGATGGATTCAAAATCCGGAATTACCTCAGTGGACCAGTCTAGGAATCTACTCTTCAGGGGAATGACCGGCACGACATCAAGCCCTTTGGGTTGGAACCCTCGGGATGTGGGAATCGGAGCCTGGTGGTATGCCGTTGCGGGAACAACGTGGTCATTTACTTCCGGGGGTCGGGTCCATTCAGGAGGGGCCCGGCCGCGTGGGGTAATTGTCATACGGCTGGTTGAAGGCGAAGGAGGGTTCGAATTATCAGAAGGTGGGTCTCCTGTTGTTGAATTGCCGAAAGCAAGGTTCTTCAGGGAAGCAGCGACACTAGCAGTTCGTCTAAAACCCAAAGAAAGATAGCCTTCTTGTTTCGAGGCTGCTGCTCCGGACATGGGAGGTGTTGAAGGTGGCGCAGTTTTCTTTGTCTCGATTCGTTCGCGAGGTTGGAATTTCGTCAAGCCTGTTATTTCCAAAACCTCGTTCTGAAGCTTGTTAGTTAGTGGCGCCATTGGAGATTCCAACAAGGCAAGGTGTATGTAATCAACGATAACGGCGGCATCCTGGGCGATATCAGGATGGGGATCGACCGAGAGAGCCAGCAGCTGCTTCCAAATAGTTCCGAAAGTCGTATTGCGAGACAGCTGGGGCATTTTCTCATGGGAAAGCAGTGCTCCAGCCTGTCCTTCGGAGCGGCTAGTAGAGGTTTCGCTCTCCCAGCGATGAAGCAGGGATCGCTTTTCTTCCTCAAGCTCCTCAAATGCTGCGACCAAAAATTTGTTTTGGTGGCGCCTGACGAATGTTGAGAAGAACACTAAAAGCTCCTTCCTGACAACCACGCTCCCATCGGCAGACATGGGCAAGACTGCCAGTGCTAATGTCTCCTCGATTTGTGCAACTTGGTCCGTCAAATCTGGAATTCCCAAGAACGTAGTCACCGCGTGGAGCATCGCAGCGCGAACTTCGGGGACGGGGTCGAAATTCAACTCGCAGAGCCTAGCGGGGGCTGCACATCGAATGCCCATCCACTTTGCTTCGGGGAAATCGCACCAGAGCATACTGAGACACAGACAAGACCATTGCCGCAGCAGGGGGTTTTCTACATCACTTAGATGTCTCAGACACGAATCAAATAACTCGCCAGACAGGCAGACGTTCTGTCCCTGGGGGTAGTTTTTGCAGAAGATCGAGACTATGAAAGCACACATGGCCCTGTGTTCACTAGCGTTTCCCACAGGAATGGGTGAAGAAGGGTTCAGAATTGAAATAAAGTAATGGATGCCGTTGTCTTTGAGTAGATCATTTTGTACAGTGTGGTCGACTGCCATGATTCTTGCCCAGATGAAAACCATCACAGGTTTCAATTCTTGAGCGGCTGATTGCAGCAACTTGACAACGTAGGGGAAGATGCCAATGCTGAGTGCAAGGTGGACAGCCCATGGGCCGAGGTCCAAGAATTTGCTGAGAAGAATCAAGGCCCGCAAGCGGTGTGCCTGACTCAGGAGGACTTGGAGGACAATAGGAAGCTGATCTGGTGGATTCTTCTCCGTAGGACCGGACGAGAGATACACCTCAAAAGCAGTAAGTTGCTCAGCGAAGAAAGTTGAGTGCTGGTACTCGTACTGCCGTCGCCCTTCTTCCTGATCAATGAGGGCAGGTAGCTGAGATAACACCATCTCGACTGCAAGGTCCCAGCTTTTCCATAGAGGGTGATGGTGTGTGTCTGGCAATTCAGGCGAAGATATCGGATGGCATTTGTAGGTGCGCATAATGCGTTCGCTGAGCAGAAAGTTGCGGAAAAGAGCGGCGACCATTAGATCCTGTCGGAAGAGCTTCTTGAACAAAGCCCGAGGTAAGGTGTTCCATGCAATCGTATCGGTAATTGCAGTGAAAATCCAATTCAGTTCTCCAAGAGGGCTTCGACGATCTTGAAGCCGACCGGGAACTCGGAAGTCGTCAATAGAGATGTTAGTTCGTAAAGGGTTCTGCAAGATGAAAAAGCGCAACGCGATTTCAATCGGCGTTGTCAAGCAACAGGTGAATAGGTCTGCAGGTAGGTCGGGATTGGTCGGAAGCGACTCCGTCTTCTGGCACGCAGCTAGGAGGATGCAGTCACCATAATTCTGAATGACGGCATTCGGGTCTCGTTTCTTAGTTTCAATGTTCTCTTTCTCATGCTTCTCCACAAAAGTGTGGAAATTTTGGACAATGTTCCCCGCATGTGAAACATCAAAGACAAAAAGACTAGGTCCAGCTAGCCAAGACTGCAGGTCATACAGTGGGACAGGGATATACTGGGTATAGTTCTTGTTGAATACCCAGATTTCACCCGACTGAGTTGGCAATGGCACTCCGTGTCCATTGTAATGTAGAAGTACTCGCTCGTCCTTGGCATTTCGGCGAAGTGAGATGCAGAATTTCTTGGTCTCGTCAACCGAT